GCGCGATGATAAATGCTCTCAAATTATAAGCGCAAGCACATGATACAAGAGCGCGTGCGTGTGTCGTGTCCAGACACAGGAGAGAGGCACTCGACACACGCACACACACACACAATACGGACGGAAACGTTAATCGCACTAATAGTGGAGCGGTATTTTACGTTCACGCCCAGCAACGTGTCGGGCAGTGTTCGGCTCTTGAGCCGTTAATCGTTCAGCTAAATAAAGCCGAGGAGAACGGAAGTACGAGCGAGCGCGGCTGGACGTTAATGAATTCGACAATGCTCCGCGTTCACCTAACTGCGATAATAACGGTCGGCCCAGGCCGAAACGGGAGATTATTCACCGGGCAACCCTCGTGGACGATCGCAGAAGATTCAAATAAGTGAGACAGGTGAGAGCACCGGGGATTATTCGACACTCGCGATTTGACACATCGGCGGTACGATAATAAAACAGCTTGTTTCAATTCCATTTTCGTTTTCGCGGGACACACGGAGAGATTCCGGAGATTGGTTGGGATAATTGCTCGGCCGGTGATCAAACTCGCGTACAATCGAACTGGGGCTATCTATGGGACTATCTCGCGAATTTACATGCTGATATTTAACACGTACGAGTCGTTTCCATATGCTATTTTCCAAAACTTTATTTACAAAGCGTGTAAATTTTCGTGTAAATGCAAAGTATATCTCGTAAATATAATAAATTGTATTATATATCGATACTGTAATAACGACAAAATTAATTAAGAAAATAATACACGCGTTTAACCGTTTATTAATACATTACATATCGTTATTTGTTATATTATTTATCGAAACAATCTTTACTCACATTTATTGAGTCAATTTAATATAAGCGGCGCGATATTATTTTGTTTCAACGGGAAAAAGTGACGTTTTCAATATTCGCCGTAGGGGAGGCGAGTGAATGACGATAAAAAAAGAAAGTTTATCAGAGATGTCGATAATATGAGGCATCCTCTCCTCCCTCAAGCCGATTACTCATCTCTTGTCACGCGGGAGATTAAACGGTACAACTTCGCTTTTATGTAGTTTTCGCGATAATGCACTCTCTTTGTTAATTTCATGTCGGGATATTCTTTGGCTTCGGCAAATTCAATACAGCCGGCAAACTGTTCGACAAACTGATTAATCATAATCTATTTACGAGGTAGCGAACCGCGCGCTAACGTTTTGGCGGATATTATTAGCGGATTGATGTATTTAAGAACAAATACGCGCACAGGCATTGTTGTTTCCGATCAAACTTTATATCGATGTTTCAACAGAGAATTGAATACTCGATGAAAGAAATTTAGTCATCGAAACAAAAATTGCCAGAAAATTATTAGACATACATTGTAACACATTGTGTTTCGCGAAGGCATCGTCGTCACCGATCGATCATTCTCTTTCTCCCGTGTGTCATTTTTTCACGACGAACTAATTTCCTACTTCCTAAAGAGTTCGCCGAAGTGAATTACGGGAGTTATTCTTAACGCGAGGGCTCGATATCCTTCGTCCTACGCGGAAAGTTCTGTCTGACGTTATACAAAAATATTTGGCCAGTCCTCGCTCGACGCACCCCAGGGACCACGATCGGGCAATTTCCTGCCGGAGCGGATTATGTCAGCAATGTCCGCGGAATTTGCGAATCTCGCATGTTATATCTGATATTTTTGACAGATGACGACCGATTACGTTAGTACGTATCGATAATACCAGGGATATCCGGCGGTTATATCCTCAAACGGATATCCAGGATCGATGCGGATATCGGGGAATAATCGGGATAATTAATTATCCACTGATTAAATGTCTGTATAGAAGATAACTTGATCTACATGTTAAGGATTATAAACGCGAGGAGATTACAAATTCCATCATTCGTCTATTCGATACACACACACACACACACACACACACACACACACACACACACACACACACACACACACACACACACACACATAGACCTGTTTGCAAAGTAATTATCTCCTCTACAAACACCATTATAATCCATTACGTCCCTTAATCCATTACAATATAGGTAATTATAATTTTTGCAATGCCCTGCTCGAACAAGAGCTCATCGAAATTCCATTGTTTTATAAATTCATTGCGCCCAGTTGAGTTTGAGTTTTGTTGACCGAGCCGAGTTACAATATTAAATCTCCCTGTTAAGCGATATAATTATGCAATTTAAAGAATGCGCAAAGTTAAAACTCGTACAACAATGTGCTGATATATTTTTCATTTCGAGCGTCATATATCCGTAATAAACCTGAAATGGGATCACGGACAGATCCCAGAACGGAAGAGGCGGCGGCGGTCAACTTGTTTCTCGTTGATCGAAATAGATTTTTATCGAATTCCAAGCTATGAACGTGTCTGCTACATCTAATCAAACTTGTTTCATCGGCGATATGGCGAGGGCGGTCGAGGAGACTTGACGATGCCGACGGACCAATCGATTATATTGGTTTTCATCGAATACGGAGTATCCTGTTATGGTATATCGACGGGGCGAGTCGTCGACTGATCGCAATTTGCGGGGGTAGACCAAGTCCTTCGTATATTTTTCGATAGCTCGCTCGGTGAATTATATGGCTAACGTTCTGATTGGCAGCCTCGTGTAAAACCGCCAAACGTCAATCACACTACTCTTTGCCCCGATTTATCAGAATTAATAATAAACTGTATTTCGCGTAACATTACATTATATACGCGCGCATATAATATAATTATTATACATGTTATCGAGAGTTCGCGTTACATTATATTATGGAGAAAATTATTGACGTATATTCGTTAACTGACGTTAACGAACCTACGCGCTTCGAATGTACATAAATAGTTGCTCCAGGAGAGAGTATCGACTCTCCCCGTGACGTAACAAATTTCGCAAACATTCTACGCTATGTCCGGGAGTACATTAATAATCCCCCGTACCGTTGCAAATTAATTGGTTGCTGAAGGTGGTTTGCAACTTGAGCGTACAACGTTTGACATTGATTATAATATCTGCGCTCAAATAATAAGATTCGAATTACGCGTTAGCCACAGTCGGAACTGAGGAAAGTTATAATATTAATTAACGAAATATACCATACGAACGATACGTCGAAAGAGTAAGATAGAAGATAAATTTCGCGGTGCATCTATTTATCTTAAAGTTATGCATTTATCTATAAAAGAAAAATTTTATTTTATTCTCTATCGTACACAACAATTTTTAAATCTTTTATAAATTTTGCGGTATTTCGGAAAAATAAATACGCTGAAACCTTCAATCGTAAATTCTCATATTCATCCTCGTCGATAGACATGGCTATTCTCTATCTTATTGATTTCTTGATTTAGCTTGACGTCTTTTCGAGAACACGGGAATTGACATCCCGTTTCGACGGAATGAAAAGTTCGCGGCGGAGGAATGCGACAATATCCCGCCTGTCGTTACGCGGGTGAACGAAATTCCCTCAAACGTGAAAGGAAAAGCGGATAATGTCCTGCTGCAGGATCTATGGGATTCGTGGCCGGAAACGCAAGAACGGTGATCGATGTATAATCACGTGAGAATGTACAATTCGCTTCTCTCCGTATATATATATATATATATATATATATATATATATATACACGCGTATCGTGAGCGTGTAACTATCCTGCAGCATACATATTCCCCCGCCAGGAGGAGAAAGATACTAATGCCGGCAATTTCAAAGTTTTCCGGGTTAACATCGAGGAAGAATGGCAATCACTAGCGCAGCATTCACGTCGCGGAATGAAAAATTAATCTTGCATCCGCAAGATAAAACACACGCGCGCGCGCCTCTTTTTATGGCCGCAAACTCTAAAGGACAGTCGATATTTTTCGAATCAAGTTCTTTTCACAATTTTCATAATTTTCATTATCGGTATTTCTGTCGATATATTTTTCCTTCTCTCAATATCTTAAAATTAATCCGTTAAGAGAACAAACGATTTCGCGCACGAAGAATGTAGCGGACATTTGATGTTTAATTCCGGAGCAGGTGACGCGCGAAACCAGAGTTAAAATTCCACGCAAGCCGGCTCTTAAATATCTGCGAACTCGCGATAAATCCAGCCATTGGAGCGTGGCCGACCGGATTATTTATCCCAAGATTATTTCCTCGTACAATTCCAACTTCCTGTCTAATCCTCCCGACCGATCGCTAACGCCCGCTCGGAGTCACCAGCCCGAATCACAAGAGAAAGAGAAAGAGAGAAAGAACGAGAAAGAGAACCCCGATGGTTTACGGCAGTTCGCTCCTCGCGATCGCAAAAAGGCGGCATTACCGGCGTCGCTCATGGGCTGCTTTTATTTCAGGAAAGTCGTCGAACAATTTCTCAACGGATTATACCGAGATTTGCTCTCCGGAAAGTTGGGTAATTCCTTTACAAGTTCGCGCTGGAAGAAGTTTTCGCCCGCCACGAACCCCCTTTTCTTCTCCATCTAACCCTTCGATCTTGCACCCTCTCCTTCGCCATGTTGCGCTCTGCGATGACAATGAAATAATTTCATTTCGCTTCAAAGAGCGCTTCGTTGACACGACGAAATTAGAGGTTCGGTTTTTGTGAAATTTTCAAACGCGGAATATCACCTTTGAGCATTTAAAATAGCGACGAAAATAGCGAACGTCAGCTGTGTCAATGTCAGACTTACACAGGTCGAACAAACGCATCAGCTTTTAATCCCAACTCCCACATTTAACCTTCGAAAGAGGAAATATTACTATGTTTTGCGCTCCACATGCACAATAAAAATTGAGTATAAACTTATGTAAAATTGAGGATTGTTAATTAATACAAATTTCGTTAAATAAAAATATTATAGTATTATATCAAGTTTTTCGAGTCTTCTGAAAAGAGATGTTTATTAAATTTTATCGATAAGTTTATTTTTCTTAAAAATGCGCTATTTTTATTTAGTTGCATCAATAACACAAAATATACTTTTTACAGAATAGCACAATGAATTACAATGCCACGTATCTAATGTTTTTAATGCTCTGCTTGGTATTGTCGGAGTACGAAGCGAACGATAAATCGATTCTCTCAAGAAAACGACGTTACATCGTTTTTCCCGAAGGTTCTACATTTTCCGTAAGTACAGTATTAGTCGTACAATATTTGTATAATATTTTTTATGTAAATAATATCAGTAATTTCCTCTTGTAAATCGAAACAGAATTATTATTCATAGCATCAAAAGTCATTATACTTCTCTGATAATTTTAACAATAAATTTTTATAGTACAAATTTGTTAATTTAAATTTCTCATTATACTTCTCTATTAATTTTAACAATAAATTTTTATAGTACAAATTTTTTAATTTAAATGTAAATTCAATGGATGCATGAATTAATTTAATATCTGATTATAAGAGACATCACTCGCAAGCTAATTAACTTGATCATTAATTACTTACTGATTAAATACACTTACCAATTAAGCTACGCGGCGGACTTGTCATACTTTAATATCATTTATTATAAGTTATACGAGATGTAATACATTATTTTCAGCATCAACGGAAAAAATCTAATAAGTAATAATAATTGTGTAAAAAAATTGTGTAAAACTTCAAGGAATTTAAGATACTCGTCCCTCACCTGTTTACCATCAGATATCTTTTGTCGAATAAGATTTATTTCTAATCGCAGATAAAATTCTTGCTAATTTTGCATGCAATACTGCTTTACAGATTATTGTGTAATAAAATATGCGCGTCATAGTTTATTCGTAGCAAGAGATTTATCCCGCGGGAAGCAGTAATATTCTACGTTAATGATGAGATAACAAAAAAAATCATGCCTAAGATGCAAAAACGAAAAGAAATGGCAAGCCACAAATGTAACGCGACACTTCTACGCAGGTCGCTCTTTGCCTGACGGTACACACCCTGACCCCGGACAACATTTTCACGGAGGGTCTTAACTGGGGTATCTCCTACGACCTACCTAACGAGAGCAAACCCGCCCTGGAGCCGTTCCTGCAGCTAAGGAACGATAAACTTAAAACTGGCAACAAGCACGACCGTTACGGTTTCACTACACTCGCTAATAGGAACGGCCCTCTGAAATATTCAGGATGGAATAACGACGTCAGGACACATTTCGCGCCCAACGGAAAGAAGTACCACAAGTCGGAGTACTATTACTTGCAAAGGAGGCACCGAAGGGAGCTTTACAACAAATTGGAGATTATCATGAATGCGTGAGTATACGATATTTGGATCAATGAAAGAGCTTCATTAAAACGATTGTTTTAATTCGGTGAAATTGTTAAAAATCCAAAGTAATCTTTGATTGTATCCGAGCAATTTAAACAAACAAGATTATTATATTTGCGTTGAGAAAAATATCATTACAAAAGAATATTGAAATATATGTAAATAAATTTATTTTTTAACATTTAATAAAAGAGATTATATAAAATTTTACGACACTTAAGTATTTGTAATTCAAATATTTTAGAAACAAATTGCAATGTTTGCATTTCTCAGATAAGGACTTTATATATTAAAGCATTAAGAATTAATTGGCAAATTAATCAAAATTGTATTTAATAAAATTTTAAAATAGATACTCGAGAATTTGCATAACAATCTAATTATTTCCGTTCCTGATAACAATAACATCCGCATTCGCGGGCAATGAAAACGATAATTTTCCTGGATCAACGTCGCCATCCATTTAAATTGAGTGAATATATTAACCTGGATTTTAGAGCATCTTTGGGGAAAGAGAGCGGGAGAGCGACGAATTTTCACGAGACGAGAGACACGCTCGATAATAAAATAGAACGGCGGCTTTAGTGGCTCTGCCACGATCGAACGGCCGTCTTGCCTCTTTATGGCGAAGACCCGTCGAAGTACTACAGTTTCTTCCGTGTCATCTATCGAGACGTATCCCGACGTATCAGCCGCATTAACCGGAAAAGCCGATATATTGCAATAATGACGCTCGACGAGACCAAACTCTTCGACCGCACATCGGTCGAAGCCAGAGACACGAGCTTATTGTCACGTCACGTGGGCTTACAATTTGTCAAACTGTATTATATGAAACGGACCTATGATGTGGCTATTGTACGAGATTTAGCCAATTAATTTTCATTATTTTACCGGGGATTTAAATTACATTTTATACCGAGTCTGCTAATCCCAGTCACCGCAATATGTGATATGCGTGACATGATATCAAAAGTTTTGATCATATCTCACGATGGTAACTCTTTTCCGACATCTCTCGATCTCTCAATAATTTTATCTCAAATACTACATAAAAAAAACTGTGGAATTAATAGTTATAATATCTATCAAAAAAAGACACACAAACTAGATTCACAGAAATTACAAATAAAATCAAAAGCATGAAAACAAATTAAAGAGGATCTATCAGAGAATCAATGACAATTTTATCAATGCTTTTATCTGTATCGTGACGCGCGAATTTACGGGATAATATTAACGTGCTGGCGCATCTTTATACGAACTTATTACGGTACATTGGCACTGAAAGGCTTTGAATAACGCGCGACAGGGTGACAGATATCCCTATTACGGATGAGACCATAGATATGTCCGAGGATCTTTTATAACGGGATCAATTTTTGGCCATCGTTTTTCATCCTCGCGTGATAGCAAAAGATATATAATTATTCATGATATTAATTTAGAATAGATATTTTTATAACGTAATTAGAGCTCCTGCAGCATCAACTATTTCTTTAAAACATGCACAAAACTTTATTGCATATAATTAAGCAAATATCAACTCAAAGTTGATTTTGTTTTAAAGAAAATAACTTGAGATTTTCTTCTCATAAATCTGTGTGTGTGTGTGTGATATTTTCTAAATAAATAAAAACAACTCTACTTAAAAAAGCGGATATTATTAAGCAAATAATTTTTTTATGCATTATTTATAACGCTTACGAGGCAAATAACTTTGCGACTAACGTTGTAAAGCGATCAAAGGAGGGCCATTTGTGTGTACCTCGCATAATTGTCGGGAACGCGTTTATTGCATCTCTCGCGATGCTTTTAAGGACGTTTATCGAGCGACATTTAGCAGCGTCGTTTACTCCACTTTATCCCGGCCGGGATAACGAGGCGAGCGTTAGAATATTGCGGCTAATATCCGCATGAAATCATTCACTCCTTCGCCGAGAAGATGCTAAAGTGATGGTTTATACCCAGACGTCTTATAGCGGTCGCTATAGAACGTTGTATAAGGATGATGCGCATTTCTATGTGTGTGTATGTGTATGTGTACGTAGGGGAGGGAGACAGGGGCATCGTCTGGTTTATAAGGGATCGGTCGACGGCGGTGGCGCGGCTTCAGGATGGCATGAATCAGAGGGTGGCGTTTCCACAGCCGCGGCCCGATAGCGGGAGGGTTGTTTCTGAACGAGTCTCCAGCAGACCATTTATCCGTTTCTCGGACCCCAACGACCATGGGAAAATAGTTTCTACCTCTCTCTCTCTTTCTCTCTTCCGCGACCCAGGCCATAACCAGATTTATACCCTCCGCCAGTCAGAGAGCCTCCGATTATTTTCGTCGATAGCGTTCCGTTTCGAGCCAAAATAAGGCCACGGCTATAGTCCTTGGGCGTTCTTACTCCAAGGCAAGAATACTTAACTGGGAAATCCTTATAGCGTCGGATTGTGAGAAGGCTTATAAAGCAATTATCCGAAAATGCAACCCGTTTCAATGCTGAGCGTTCGTTTATCATCCAAAACGATATGTGGATTAATTAATTTAATGCAACAAAAGAAGCATTAATGCCAGAAACTATGATAATTTTTAGTATATATAAATAATTCAGATTCTATAATCAGTGTGATATTTTTTATAACAGATTGCCATTTTAGAAAAATAATGTAGAAACGTAAAGTAAATTGTATTTAGACTTGTTGGCAAGATAAATTAAAGGATTACATTTGAAACATTCGTAAATTGGCAATATACAGACGACTAATATGTCAACGGATCTCATTTATTTAAAAGAATGAGTGGGATAAAGTAGTACATGAAATGTCTACGTTGGACCTGTAGTATTAATTCTATCTCATTTCTTCGAGATCTACTCTGTTAAAGTCTTCCCTTCGTAAAAAAAACCTCGAAAATAAATGATAGACGTTTACTCAGATTGCCGATGTGGTCGGGTTCGTCAATTGCGTGTAAAATGAATGACCCGTTATCTTAAAGAGAGAGAACTCTAAATTGTTATAATTTAACTTATCTTTGAAGGTCTAAAATTTACAGCAAGCACAATATAATTTTTATTTTGCAAGAATAAATATATATTATAATAGAAAATTAATCGTGAAACATAAAATAATTAGAAATTTAATAGAATAGAAAAAACTAGAAGTTTATTAAAATAAATCTTTTGACTTTCTTTCAAAACAGAACTTATCGATCGTCTAAAGAAACATGTATCCTGTAAAATATCGTTCTTTCTTGTCTGACTTTGAAGTCAACGGGGAAATCTGATAACTGCCGTCATTCAGCACATTTTTCCTAAGGTTTCCTTGAGCACAAAGTGGCAGTGATAAGTCAGAAAAATTGTTATCCTAATCCGCGCGACAACTCGCAAAAAGAACAAAAAAGTGCACTTTGCCAAATCAGGGTGGAATTCAATAAAAGATTTTGTCTCTGTCTTTCGTAAAAAAGCAACAATAAAAAAATATATAGTCATATCTTGCAAACATTCTTTCTTTACAGAATATACCTTTTGCATCTCATTATCTCTTATTTTTCAGAATGGGCTTCGATGGCAGAACATGCATTCTACGCGCACTTTGCGAAGCATCTCAGCGATTAATGCCAAAAGGAAACACCTTGATAGAAGAAATGATGCGGATATCATTCTCGTAAGATTCTCAAACGAAGTGAAAGGATTTGGCAAATGCATCTCGTAGAGTCGTGAATTGACGTTCTATTTTTCGAGGTTTTTTCTATCTTTCTTCTACATTTACTTTAATTTACGAATTGATAAATATTAATTGCCGCAAGATATTAAAATAATGTGATTAAAAAAAAAGAGAAGAAGAGAAAAAAGAACAAATGCGGCGGAAGATGCAAAAAATTATAAAGATGCAAGATAAACAATAATATTAGATGAACAATAAGTTTTTTTTTGACAATTTACAATCTTTATAAAAAATAGATCAAACTAAATTAATCATATTGTTTATGACAATATATTTTTGATTTAACAGATGGGATATTTTTTTAACAAAAACGATAATGAAAATCGCCATTCGTCGCAGAAATCTTTCACGTTTCAATACACATATTTTCATTATATTGAAAAATAAAAATCGCGTTATTTGTCACTTGATATGATCAATATAGTTTTGTAGTTTTGTGTTAGCTATTTATTCCCTCGTTGAAAAAAATCCTCTTCACTTTCAAACGGTTTACGCGAAAGCTGTTAATGCCTAAACATTTTTGTTTTGATTGTAATTCGTTATTACTACTTGACCCACTTATATTGAAGCACTCTATATAGAATCTTGATAGTGATATCCTAGTATACAAGAGCTTTTATACAAAAATGTACTTTTGCAATGAAAAAACCAGATGCTTCTATATGTATTGCAATTCACAAAATTGAATGACACAACTTGAATGAATCATATATCTAAGAAATTTCATAATTAAATTCTTCATTTTCTATCTGATTTTGTTTAATGTAATGAGACCGAAAAACTTTTCTTAGGAATTTTATAGGCCGATTTACTTCTATTCTTTTTAAACGAAGGTACAGAATACAAAACATAAGATGTTATTACGACTCTCTCTTTCTCGCAACGCAAAAATGACGACGGATTAAAAACGTGACTCGACTCGCGTGCGGTTTAAAATAGCTTTCTCTGTTTGACGATCTCGGGGGTGCGCCTCCCCGATTATTCCGTAACCGACCATTACGAGCAACCTACTCATCATCTCGGCCAAGAATGCGCAATTCGCAAAACGTTAGGGATCTTCTATGGAGGGTTGCCTTCTGAGAAAGACAGAGACAGAGAGAGAGAGAGAGAGAGAGAGAGCGCATTCTTCCACCTTTTCTGACTGAGAAATAATTCAGCCGTAATATTTCTTTCGGCGGATGATACAGAGAAGATGAGAATCGAGTCTCTCCCATCTCGTCGATTTTCCACGACTCTTCGACGCGCAATTCGATCATCGTCACGCAACGTACGTTTCGCGATCTAAAAATCATCCATTACATTGCAGGCTACCCTTAAAGAGGGTGTTCTCCTTCGAACCCGACGTGCATCGCACGTACACTCAGGCACATAAAGCCGGCCACGAGGGCAAGGACTGCGCCGCCATGTTTCCCGAGTGCAGTTTCTCCCTCATCGACTTGGCCCTCGGGAAATATAACGCACCCCCGTCCACCCCGAGCCCCGCAGATCCCGCGGCCGGAACTTTCGGCATGGAGGACGAGTCTGCCGCGGATTGGTCGAGGTACAGCATGAAGTAACGCGATGCATGCAGATGGTAACCTGATTCCGACAAACGTGCATCATGATACCGATGATCTGCCCGAGTAAGGTAAACGATCGTTACGAATGTCGAGAGGAAGTATAATACAGATTTGATAAACAGATTTTTCCTATTACAAATGCATCCTTGATGCACGACTGAAAATGAATTTTAATTCAAATGTAGTCAATTATCAATCTGTCGTCACATCGTGTGTCAATATGCTTCGAATATTATACGCATCTTTCACAAAAAGGCATATTTTTAATAAACGGGAGATGTACTTTCATATATCTCTTCTTAAAAATACGTCACAAAGTTAAATAATGTATAACTCATGCATTTTATATATTATTTAATAAATTTTGAATATTATATATAGTTAAAAGAAAAATATCCAACAAGTTATGTTTAAACAACTAATATTGTGTAGGAGAGGTGATTTCGAGTATATTATTAAACGGAATGACGCGTGATTCGCGAATAACAGAGTTGAGAATGGAAACTGGAGCGTTGCTATATGTAAAAGCCGGAAAAGCATTCATGTGACGTTAGCGACGTGGATACGGTTATACATATTTTCCATAACAAGCTATAACAATTCCTCGTTATATTGCTATCGTAGCACGGTAGCACAATTTAACTAATTGGATAGGATTGTATCGGATTAAACAGCACATGGAACACGAAAGCAATGAAAGGATATATCGATAAGAAGAAATTGAAGGAAAGAATGGCCTAAGGATCATCGAAATTCAAAGAGATATAATATGCTTTATTCTTGCGAATACATCGTCGATATTGCACAATATTTTATGGAAATATATAGAGACTTCCTTACATTTCGAAATGTCATATTACAATGCTAGTTTAAAATTAAATTCTTATGCATTGTAGATCAAAAAGCGAATTGTACAACATCCTTCTGTAAAAACTAACTTTAAAGATATAAACTCCAAGAGAATAATAATTTTTATTATAAATTATTATAATTAGTGCAAAGTATAAGCAAAAATAAAAGTTTACAAAGAAGCGCGATATGAAAGCGAATAAAGATAATGTTAAAATTTGAATAAAGCAAAAAAAGAAATGTTGTTCTCGCATAGAATTGTACTGATGATTAATTCGGATATTGAAATTGGTTGATCGAATAATAAAAATAGGATTGTGTGAAAAAATAGCATTTCGTGATCGAGATATAGAATGATATCATTATCAGAGAAAATAACTAGTAATTCTATGATTAATAAATATGTATGTTATTTACATATTTATTAGAAGAGAGAAATTTAATTATTGTCATATGAAACTAACTTTTAATTAAACGCAAGTACCGAATTTTAATTACAACCCCATGAATGAATTCGATTTATATGGGAGGAAACGCGCGCGTATTAGATATCTCAATTACATTATTTACATCAATTACCATATTTATACTTGATATTTATACTTTATATACAAAATACATCTATTATCTCCTGTGTGTTCAATAATATAGAATAACATATAAATATCAAAAGCTTTAAAATATAATAAGTATAATTAAAAAATATATAATGCAAATTTATATGCAATATAAATTCCATTTTAACAGTATTGTCAAAAATTAATTTAAATGCTCAGAGAGAGAGAGAGAGAGAGAGAGAGTAATAGATTGTACTACACTCACTGGGCTCAGACCAAAAATCATGTAAATAAAATGCACAATAAACTATTTAGAAAGGTATTATTCTTTATTCTTCTTTATTTACTCTCTCTTTATCTGTTTGTTCTATCCATAACTTCCATTTAGAAGACATCATTTTTCAAACATGTTGCTACAAAGTATACAAGGAGATATGATAAGGGGTTAATCGTGCACGACCGACGTGGATCGGGTGAGATACGACACGAAATGGGACGTTGCATCAAGAACCGGTAGAAGTACCAGAGAGGGTGAATGATGGAAACTCGAGGAAGGGGGAAGGAGAGGAGAGTACCCTCGAGATAGCACTTATGTTGTATTTGCTACGTGTCATAAATACTTTATATCTCCGCGAAAGAGATGATAATTTTACTGAAACCTACTTTCTTTGCACGCATAGTCAAATAATCACTTCAAGTAGTATAATTCAAAAATTCATATAAGATTCTAAATAAAATAATTTAGTTTAGAAAACCGTACATTCTTTCTTCTCTTTTTCGTATATATATATATTTTATTCGCGTTATATATCATCGAGATATTGGCTTTTAATTTAAAGTAAAAATTTTATAATTATTTTTGCTCATGAGATTTTTAATAAAATTAGCCATTGTTTAAAAATTAGATTTTACATGTTTTACTCTTTTTGTCTTTAGCTAGTCCGATTTCTTTAATCTTCCGCATCCTCGATGATTGGTCTTTCTTACTCTTTCATGTTCGCTCGTCGTTCTTGTCTGACATCATAATATTGCTCTTCAGGATGAAGAATGAAAAATTATATTCCGCTCATCGAAAGGGAACCCTCGAGCTACACCGGTAATGATATAAAAATGACGTAACTATTTGCTAAAGGGACATCAGTACGATAGGCTCGTCAGAGAAATTGATTCTGGATTTATTCGATGACATCGATGTCCGGTGGGCGTCTCCATGGGGATAATGACACTCTTGTGGCGGCGATGTTATTGATATTATTGACAAAGAAATCCGATATATTGATTGCGTGGCGAAAGCAAGGCTCGTTAATAATGCCACCGATAGGGCTCGGTGATTCCGAAAATAATGTGTGTTATTGTACGTGTTATTATATGCGTTTCCCTTTTTCTTCATAGCGCGACATGAATATACGAAATATATTCTGAAAAGAAATTTTCACTGACGCGTTTTCCATATTTTTTATTCATTTTGCGTCAACGCTATAAAATGGACTTGCATGGCATTTTCTTGATAACGTTAATGCCATTAATAGCCTCAATAATTCAACGCGTTTATGGATATTATATATAGTTGTGATAAAATTCTAGATAAAATATTTAAAGTTTTTATTATTCTAGAACGATTCTAGAAGTAATTCGACGAATAAGAGATGCTCGAATAAAGTTATTAGATATTTACGAGAGTTATCACTCGGCTGAACGACCGGAGAAGCCGTTAGATACTCTTTCGCCCTATTTATGCCGCAAAAGGTTGCTTTTACATTTTATTGCCGTACATCGTGTTTGTTTTGCCGGTAAGGGACGCCCTTTTTACTCTCGTCGCAAGGCGCGGCTTTTTATCATAACACGGCGGGTACGATGCACCTATCTTGGTAGCCTCGTCACACGTGCAACTCTACCTTTTTCTGGGCGTTGCACGGATAAAGGGACTTCGACGTGCACCCATAATAAAAGGCACGCATCCTGTAAAAGCGACGCGATTGTAAAGTTGCAATTAATTATAGCGCGGAAATTAAATTATTTAGAACGCGCGTGTAAATTGAATTAAATGAGAAGGCGCAGATTCTCACAAGCCCGACTTTGTATCTTGTTCCCATAATTCAAATAATTACGTTGTAATACGCATTTGTAATGTAACGATGTAAGAACGCGCTAATGCAATCTATACACGAACATATTGACGAGTGTGTTTTATATATGTATGTACGTAATGAAGCAAAATCGGTTCGAGTAGGTAGATAATGAGATATAATTCTAAAAGTTGCATTTTTTAACTTTAGCGGAGCCTTAGAAGCTTTAATTTCTCGCACCTGCGCGATAACAAAAATTAGATTTAAGGAAATTACGTCGGCGTAATTGCACTGACGGAGCAGCATTAATGTTGCCATTTAAACGGCAATTAAAATGGAAAATCCAATTTTTACATTTTCGGTATAGACCGCTCTATCTTTTACAGCGAACTTATTAAAATTAATGAGCGCTGATGTCCGTAAGATGCATTAGCGGCCGAAATTCGCTTTCATGTCTACTTTCTTTCTTTGTACGCGCGTGATGCCGGGTGTAGGCATCTATCGATGCGTATTTAAAATCGTGGAAAGAGAAGATACGAAGACTTAAACCATATCGTTTTTCAAATTTTCTGAAATATCGTTTTATGGATACCGCAAATTAGAATTTAAGTTAGTGATTTGAGTCGCGCGGTAACCAGCCATGAAATGGAATATATCAATTATAGGCAATTCGCCGACAACGAATTCCGGTTTCCTGCCCGCTCACTCGCCCCGCGCAAATTTATTTTTGATCCCGACATCTCTCTTTCTCTCCCTCCCTTTTTTTTTTGCCATTGAATAAAATTCGGTAAGAGGGAACAGATATCGATTCCGCGCGGCGCGACGGCACCGCCCTAGTTCGCGGGCCAGAACCGGGCGTGGTGGTGTGTAGGCCGCTTATAACAACCCCTCCGTTTGACTACGACATCGCCGTATGATTCTATGGCGGTTTACGCTGCGCGAATTCCCGCAGGTGATAAGAGCAGGTGGTAGTAAAGAAAGAGAGGAGACGTCTCTCTCCGCGTATGCCGTCGCGCGACGTTTTCGTGGCCGCGAGTCGAGTGACATCCGAAGTCGCTAGTTTCGCGGTCGATGTTGAATTTTCACATCGCGATGACGACGACGACGACGACATACCTCGTGGGACTCGCGATGCGCCGTAAGCTACCCCGTACGCGACGCTTTCTATGCGAAAGACGTATGCCGAATAGAAAAACAACTTTTCCACCCTTTCCTGCGCCTCTATGGGTCTTGCTATAAAAATAACGCTAGCTGGCGGGAATCGTATTACTCTGAAAATAAATACACGTTTCCACGAGTCTTTATCGTTGCAGAAAAAAATCGCATTTAACGGTTTCTGATAAAATTATTTTTGATAAGATATCAAGAATTTTTACACGCAGATGTCTTTAATTATGCAACTTAATAAATGTACAATTATGTATTTATTTAATATATTTTGTTTGTAGTAGATTTTTGTAATGTGGCGAATTATTATTAATATAATGCACACATATTTATTTCACATCCATGCACAGATAATTGA